AATATGTTCTATTTGTTCTTATTTTATATACTATAATAAATGATGTTCTTATTTGTTCTTATTTTATATACTATACTAAATGATTTTAATGAATTACATTTCATTTTATTTTTAATTTTAGAGTTTTATATGAAATAAATTTATAAAATACTAAATAAAAAGTTTTTAAATAAAATTTAAGTTGTTTTTAAATTGTGTCTAAATTAAAAACTATCAAGAATTATAGTATACTATTATTCTTGAAAGCTACAACTGTGCTTTTAAACAAATATGAAGAGTAGCTGTATAAGAAAAGTGGATTCGTATGGGATAGGTTCAAGTTGTAGTTCCTAGTTTAAGTCTTCAGGTCATTAAAAGATCAAATAAGCAGCACCAACGGAACAAAATTTACTTTTGGGTCAATTCAAAATTGACTGGATTTAATCAAAACATATTACTAAGAGATTGTGGCTGAAGACAGAAGACGGAACGCTTTTAAAAACAGATGTCGATTAAATTAATAAAATCACTATTTTTATATTTCATAATTAGATTTCATTAGTTTTTCATATTGAGGCGATAAATTGAATGTGAGCTGAATAGAGTGAAAAACACGAGAAGCCTTTATATTCAGCTCAGAAAAAATACCACAACACTAGCTGCTCTTTTCCATAAACTAAGCATAGGAACACAAAGTGATAGTAGGATATTTAAATCTATCGAAATGTATAGTTTTCAGTAGGGTATAGTATGTAATGTATAATTGGAAATAAATAGTATATACTTTTGATAGATTTTAATATTGGGAGTCTAGAGTTTGAACACTTGTTGAGCGAAATAAATTATAGGATTAAAAATGAGAGAAATCTTTTGTTTGACCCATGCCATACTTAAACAATTTTTTAAGGAGTAATTTTGGTGCAATAATTTTTATTGATTGCTACACTTGATGAATTCTGCAGTTTCAAGAGTTGTATATATGAACTCAGCTTGTTTGTGTGTGAAAACAATTTAAGAACTAATTGAACGTTTCCTCAAATTATTTACAAATATATATATTGCTTTCGCTAAAATTAAATACATAAAATAATTTAGTAATGAAATTGTAAAATAAAAAATCAAAAAACTACACATGAAAAATATATTCGTTTTCGGTAGCTAAAGAATCGACAGGTGATTTGTTTGATCGCCGCTTGGCTGTCTGTCGGTATTGCATATATCAATTCACTGAATGTAATAAACTGTACGAAAACTGTTATAAAAACTAATTTTAATTCTTAATTTTACCTCACTGTTGCATGGTGCTATAAGACACATTAATTTTACCGTTACAAAGAGGAAATTTTTTTTTTTAAAAGGTGCACATAATTAAATTTATGTTTTGTTATTTTATCAGAAGTAATTTAAAACTTTTACTGACAAAATATATAATCCATAGTTTATTTAAAGCGAATATATGGTTTAAAGAGAACTAAGCATTCTGTTTCAAAAACTATTTTATTAGCACTTGCAAATACTCACCAGATGTAAAATACTTAAAAATAAAACAAATAAAATGGAACAGCAAAAAGGGTTGAGAATTGAAAATATTATTCTTATTATTAAATTGAATAAGAAATTTTTTATAAAAAAGAGTAGCATGGTAACTCTGCCAACTGTCACTGCAAGTAGCGAACAGAGCTAATGTGTTAACGTCAAACTCTATTTGTGTCTTGTCATTTTTTAATTTTCCTTCGTCATTTGCGTGAAGTACGCTGAATTAAATAAACAATTTTTAAGAGTTCGAAATATAGTAAAAATGTTCAACGGTGGTAATAGTTCGTTTCCAACAGAATTTTGGCAGAATGGTCCATCACCAGGAAGTTTTTATAATTTCACTAGTGGTGGAGTTGCACAAACAATGCCGGCAGACATTGGTAAACAGCATTCATTGTGAGTACAAAATTGAAATTAAACTTTTAAAATATCTAATTTTATACTTTATATAAAAAAATATTAACAGCACACCAGCTACAACTGGCACATCGGTAGTCGGTATTAAATATGAAAATGGTGTACTTATTGCTGCAGATACACTGGTTTCATATGGCAATTTGGCACGTTTCACAGATGTTGAACGTGTCTTCAAAGTGAATGATTTTACCATTATTGGCACTGGTGGTGATTATGCCGATTTTCAAAATCTGCAACAAAGTATAAATCAAAAAGTTGTTGAAGATATGTGCAGCGGTGACAAATTGCAAATGAAACCAAAATCATTGTATAATTGGCTTACACGAGTTTTGTACAATCGTCGCAGTCGTATGAATCCTTTATTCCTTAATATGGTTGTCGGCGGAATGGAAAATGGTAAACCATTTCTAGGTCACATCGACTTACGTGGTAGTGCTTACGAATCTGAAGTTATTGCAACTGGATTTGGACAACACTTAGCATTACCGCTCATACGCGAAGCTCTGCAACCTGGTAAACCTATTTCAGAACAACAAGCTTTCGAATTGGTAAAATGTGACGTTTAATTTTTTTTACATTTTATTTCTTATTAAATTCTTTACAGTTGCATAAAGTAATGGAGGTGTTGTATTATCGTGACTGCCGTGCACATCCAAAATATACTGTTGCTGTTTGTACAGAGGCCGGTACTGAAATTAAGGGACCATTCCGTGTTGATGAGAATTGGGCTCTTGCCTCTCTAATTGAAGGTTATTAGTTAGCGTCGTTGCTTATTAATTTTATAAAAACTAAATTTTAATAAAAATATAAGAAATAGCTTTCACAATAAAATACCATGGAAAATGAAGCATTGAAATTTCTATTTAATTCAACTTTATGTCTGTTAGAACTTTTTTAATTAATAATTCGCTCTATAATTGTCATCCGACTTAAAGTCTTACCAGTTTGAAGAAACAGCAGAAAATATATTTTGAATAAAATGCTAGAGCAAAGCTGTTCGTAAAATTATGTAAACCGAAGAAGCTACGCAGGGAAAGAAATTGATTTAGATCCAATTTTAAATTCGTTCTTTTGTGTGCAGTGGAGAAATTGATGGAATACATTTTTTATACTTTATTCTATTATACTTTTTATTTTATTTTTTAAAATAAAGTTTTTTATTAGTTAGTTGCCCCAGTTAGCATATACTTTAATTGAATTGCGTTAAAATTCCTTTTCAATGTCTTAGAACATAACGTTTCAAGAAATATTAGGGAAATCTATTTAGAATGGCAATGTGAACGTTATTTCATAGAAGAAATTTCATTATTATGAACGGCTGTAAGTCATCTTATCTGATCGACACTGGGACCACTAAACTGATTGTAGAATTTATCAATGTAGTCGCGATACAAATGCAAGCATCGATGAATTCAGTCTGTTGATATATGTATTGTGATAAGGTGGATTATAATAAATTGGTTTTGCTACTGCAATTGTACTTCCAATTGTTGATCTTCGATCAGACTTTTTACTATACACGGACATTTGATCTCAAATAAATCGGTTACATCTTGTCAAAGTAACATTTTCAATGTGAGGGATTGTAACAACATATTATGTCTATGTTGAATGTAGTTCCTCCATTGCAAAATTGATCGGTGCAATCTAGGTACTAATACACGGATAGACGAATTTAATTGACTGTTGGGTTTGGTTTCAATAGCCAGTTTGGAGAAAAAACAATTTGTTTATTGTCAGCATTCCTTGAGAATTTGATTTTTGTTCAGAGCTCTTATTGGAAGTTGAAGATATAGCTTCTTTTGTGTAAAGAACGGATCAAAAAAGCATCAGTTTATGATATTTTAGCTAGTATATACGTACGGGATTTGAACAAAAAAGTTTTTGTTGAGCTTAATGTCTACTATATCTATATTGTGAGATGTTGGAACAGTGCGCCGTCCATCATGTGGCCACACTGAAGTGAAGGATTAACTGAAGTAGACCAAGCAACATTGGATCATTTTTCGTCCTTCGATTCTCGGATATCGTCATTGAGTTAAAGCCAAAATAGTTTCCGTTCGCATAACTGCATCTCTTGCTAGTGTAAGCATTTCATTTAGCTTGAGGTTGGCTTTCAAGTGATCAGTATGCGAAATTAAGCTATCCACTTATCGACATCGACCACTTTCAACATCCGTCCATTATATTTAGCGGCGTGGTATTTTCTAATGGAACCATTTTTCAATGTGATTTATTACTTCGATCACATTTGCAGACTGTTCACTTTTCATAATCCCCCATTTTATCATAAGCATTATCATTCATTTAGCGGTATTTAATGTTACTTGTAATGTAATAATCAAGACAATTATAGAGCGAATTATTAAAATAAAGAGTATTAAACAGTAAATAATAGCTAATTGGTAACATATCTGTATATTCAAAACATTTGTATATCCTCAAGCTTTGATAACACATTTAGATTAATGCTTATATAATTTCGACATAGCTTTAACTCCGTCTGAATAATTTAACCCCACACCCCGACCCCCTTACTAATTAAGCTTTACAAAAAAACGTTTTGACCAATAATTCCAAAAAAAAAATCCTTAGGCAGGTATGGGTTAATCACGCTACGCAACTATAACGTCACTCATTAAAAAACAAGCGAATTGGCAGCACTGTTTACAAATGTTAAAAAGTCCGCCGTTAAAGTTTAAATGTCATCAAGTCCACAATGGTAAAGTTTAAATGGCGGCTCACTGTCGCAGATATAAACCTTTACCGATTTTTAAAGCTTTAATAATTTCATGGTTTAATATAACAGTTGAAGACAATGTTTAGGAAATAGAAAAAATTATACATTTGGTGTATAAATAATTTATTGTTAAATAATTAAAGTTGGAAAAAATTCGATGAGATCCTCAAACATATATTGCTATTTTAAATTTTGTTCGAATTGGTTAAATAAAAACGGCTACAACAACAAAGATGACATACATACATGTTTCTATACTAGTTAAGTTTTTAATTGGAATTAACAAGTTGCACAAATAATTTTTGTTCAAAATATAAATAAATAAATTTGCAAATATAATATAGAATATAAACCAATTATACCCGTGTTATGTATACATATATATAGATTATTTTCTTAATTTGGATTTGCTTAGTTTAACATTGTACGCCGATCGTAAATATGGCGACGTTGCTCACGCACTTGACGTTTCCATTTGTCCTGCTGGTGACCTACACGATTCAAGACATTTGCACGTGAATTTAACTCCTGATTTCTTGAGCTGGGCATTGGCGGTGTAGTGGAGGTTGTATCATCCTAGTTTTAAAAAGAAATATAGAATTTTTTGTTAAAAACATTACGAATGCCAAAAATAATTTTTTAAGCTAAAAAAAGTATCCAAAAAAAAAAATTTCAGTGATGTGTGCAACAAGTTAACAAACAAAAAAAAAAAAACAGCAAAAATGCACGTTAAAACGAAAGATGTGTCCCTTTGTGCTGTTGTCGTACAAAAGCACAAAGTTCAGGTTAGTAAACAAAATCAATACATTAAGTGTAATATGGGAACAATAACTTAAAAAAAAACATATAATAAAATATTAATCAGAGTCTTTATTGGAATTCACTAAAAGACTATATTGTACGCTTGGATATTTGATATGTACATCTTCATTGGTATGCTCCTGATAGTTCGCCTTCACACGTTTGTTCAGCAATGGATCCAGGCACATCAGGAACAGCATATAGATTACCAATATGGAAATGATCCATATAACAATTATAACAACGACCTGTAATGGAATTGGAGGAAACCAGGTTAGTGTTATTAGAATTATGCATATAAATATTATATTTATTGTTAATTAAATAAATAATATATAAAATAAGCATTTTATATTATAAAATAAAAAAAGTTAAGAATTTGTATTAAAGTAATTAAATCACACATAAAGCATGTTTTCTGTACTAAGTAGACTTATTTTATAATTAATATATGAGCATTTATGTTGCAAATAAATAAATAGCTTATGAAATTTCAACTATCAATAATTCATTCGCAAAGGATAGTCCACTTTTTCGCACTATTCATTAAAGATAATATTATATTTACATATGTACAAACAAACAAACTTCTTACTACACAAGACAACATTGTTGTTATTGCAGATATATATGTATTGTAATCTTATATTAACTTGTACTTAAATAGCATAGTTTTTATAATTACAGTAAAAATTTTCTTAAATCTCTTCTCTCATTTGTAAACGTTATTTTACAACAAATCTTTTTTTATTATTAATTGGAACAATTAAATCATTTTGATTGGATCCCTGTCCTCAAAACAAAAGAGGGGGATCCAACGAAAAAAAGGTGCGTGGCAATGAATTTCCGCTCGAAACAGTATTTACTGTATTTGTAACTTGTGAATGAACACTTTTTCTAATACTAAATTCTTTTTATTATTACATATTTCAAACAATTAAACCCTTTTGACTGGACTCTCATTTTGAACGAATGAAAGGTGCATGGGAATGAATTTTCGCTTGAAAGAGTTTTCAATGCAAGAACTAAATGTTGTCTTCGTTTGTTGATTTTCGCAAAAGAGAATAGTGACTTTCCCTTTAGACTTCATCAAATCAAACGAAAAATGGGATATAGAACATTTACGGAATGTGATATCACAAACACCACCATTAAGTACTACTTAAACATTTTTGAAGAATAAATAAGAACACATATTGAGCAATGATATTTGCAAATAAGAGTACATATAGTTGAAATAAATAAGGACATACAATGTAATAGTTAATAAGGATGAAAGCTCAAAATAATACATAAAAGTCGCCATTTGAAGAACTATGATAAATATAATAAAAAAAATACCTGAGCTTGAGAATAATTTTGCATTCAGGATTGTATTGACTGTATACGTAAAGAATTACCACGAATGAATATTTAGTTGTCCAAAAATAATTAAGATAGCGACAAATAATGAAAAGCAGTGAATGGAAAAAAAAAATTATACTATAGTTGAAGTTCTAGTATAAGATCGCTGCAAACGTCTTGTTTCTTTTATTATTTGTTTCATTTTCAAATTTTAAAAAATGAAACAAGTGAAAATATGATACTACATATCTCGATTTATGATCAATACATACGATCGATGATTCAAAAAAAAAAAAATTTGATTTAAAACATTCGTTAATCTGAATACAAAAAAAAACAAGACCAAAGCAGCTGCATATTGTGTCACCAACATACATCTGTTTTTGTCTTTTCTCTGGTATGTGCATTAAATAATAAGAAGTCATGTAGAACTTAACATGGTTACATCATCTCCAATAAAATGAAATTTCTCTAAAACACAATTGACTCAAATGCATAATGAATGAAGTGAAAGTCCAACTCAAAGGTTGTTAACAAATGATGATGAACGTAGAATAGGACCACTTACTTTCAAATATGAAAACTGTTAATATGAAAACTGGACTTTCTGCATGTTTAAAATAATTCAGATAATTCTCCTATATAAAAGTTACAATAATCCAAGTTATGTTTATTGCATATAATTGATGTCAGATATTACGTAGGAATACGTTAATTTCTTGTTTAATACATAACTGAGTTTTGCTTTTCATTAGTTAACTTTGATGATTGAGTATTAGTAAAATAAACCATAGTATTTTCTAAAATAGTACAGTAGTTAACATTTGATCCTGATGAGAGTAAAATGCATTACGTATATGCATATTGTAGGAGTTGCTTCTTTTTCATAGCCAACCTCTGTGAAAAAGATTTCACTACTCACTTTTAGGGCCAGCAGCTACTACGTCCTTTTCAAACAAGGATGATGAGCAATAGCTTCACTTCACGAAAACTTTTGGGGTGCCTAAAAGCATTTCTAAATTATCACTTAACTTTAACTTAATCGAGTACAAGAAACCTTTGTCGTATCTAATTTGTATAAAAGTTTTTTAAAATTAACAACTAAAACATTTATATTTAGTAAATATTTGCTCGAATATATGCAAAATATCATTACAAGAATTAGCAGATACAGCCCATTTCATTAGAAAAGATGACTGAATGACAACAATTACATACAAAAAGAACAACTAAAACCGTATTTTGCATTAAAAATGTATTTTGTTGTTGAATATATCACTAACCTACTCTATCCTCATTTCACTATAACCGAGTCCTGTGATCGAATTAGGTCTTTTATGTTAATAATTGATCCTAAACTAGTAGAAGACATGCAGCCTTGCGTGTGAAGGCTCGAATATCTCCCGAGGATTTTGCAGTATACAAATCGCACAACAAAAAAAAAATTTATAAAACATTTTACTGTATCTAAAATTGTTTTGCCGTACTTCTAAATTTTTAAAAATTAAACTATTAAATTATTTTCTTAATAGTTACCTTCGTTAATGTAGTATTCCGTGCTTTATGTTTGCACTTGCATTCCTGACATATTTCCAACTGCTTGCCATTTTCGCTGAGGCGTGGCAGCAAAGCACCGTCACAAACACTGAGTAAGTGGGTGAAAAAGAATATGGTTAAATAAATAAAAAAAAATGATTAAAATAATAACAATTCCTATGCAACAGACAAGACATGACTTACCAAGTTTTAGGCGTTGTACTATTGGGAGATGCAGCTGTACTTGATGCCAAAACATTTGTTGCAATTGTACTACTGATTATTTTACTAACATTTGCAACGTCAACATTGTGTGATACATTTGCATTTGAAGCTGGAACGTTACTTGAAGTTAGATTGCTTAAAGCTGCCGATTCAGCCTGCGTCAATGCAAGATACTTAATTTCATTCGCACATATGAATTTTATTAACTTACCCATGTCACGCCAATCAAGTAACATATTGCAAGCAAACCAATATACAGTAATAAACGCTTATGCGCCATTAATTTGCTAATTATATACTTCTTTAAAGAAATTATATTGAATACTGATAAATTTTCTCTGTCTGTGAAGTAAATCAAGAACAGCTGATTAATTAGTGTTGTTTTGCTAATCAAAAGTTATCGAAAGTATTAAACAGCGAAATATGTTCTTATCATCGAATGGACGCAAGTTTGGTATTAACAAATTAATATCACTTTAATAAATTATTTTGTGTATTGCACATTTAAAAATATACTAATTCTGAATATTATTATTAAAAATAAAATATAAAAGTATTATATTGAATTTTTATTAAATAGTCCTATTGAGCAGAAACTTCAACTGTTTTCTTTTATATAGTGTTTATACTGGCCAAAAATGATTCATTTCAAATAAGTCATATGAAAATGTTTACATTCGTTATAATTCATTTGTTCTTATTTCAAACAGCTGATTTTTCCACTTGTTTGTTCCCAAAATATGTTGAATGATGGTTTAATATACCTTCAAACCTTACAATATTAACTGAAAACTTATTTTTTGCTTCGATTAAATTATTTTTGGGAAGAAGTTCCAAAAAGAGGATATGTAACCACCAAACATTTGTTTACCTTTTTTTGTAAGTATGTCAAAAACAGCTTTCTCAAACTGTCAAAATGCCATGAAAAGCTTTTATGTAGGATATGTTCAATGTATGCATTTGCATTTCGGACATATTTGGAACTCATTCTAGCCTCATTGGAACTTATTTATACAGAATGAGATGCAATGAATCATTTGCTTACCATTTTTGATTTTTGACCAAAATGAGCGATTTGAGGCCAGTGTAAATCAATTCATAGTTATAATAATCAACGTTTAACATATCCCAGATATAAATAGTAAACAAAAAATATATGATTTCCTTAATTTGGGGCAACATGAAGACTTTCCGAATTAACTTAATGTCATTTTAACGAAATTAAGGAAATTTGGCTATCTGAATATAATACAACACATCTTTCGTCACCGAAAGTGTTGTAAAAATCATTTTACAACACTGTCATTATTGTTTATCTGTCAAATGACAAACATATGTGGTAAATGTTTGCGTGTCTTTTATTCACATTGTTAAAAAATAAGTTCCGCACATAAGAACACTTAGTGAAAAGATTTGCTGTATTAAATTACTGTGTTTTATTAGAAAAAATAAAAATTTTTTTTTTTCACAACAATGAAATTAAAGGGAGAAAACATAAATTTATTAAGGATATTAATAATTTTGTGTATTTCTCCTCTTTATAACGGTGAGTATTTACATTGTGCGGCTTTATGTGTAAGCTTGCGATTGGTTTGCTTTGCCGCGCTCTTATTTCTAATGCCCCCGTTTGCTTATCAATTTTTATGTTTTTTTTTGTAGCTGTGAAAACAAATTTTGTTACTTGTGGTTCTATATTGAAATTGCTCAACTCCGATTACAATTATCGACTGCATTCACATGATGTGAAATATGGCTCAGGTTCAGGACAGCAATCAGTAACTGGCACTGAACAAAAAGACGATGTAAATAGTCATTGGGTTATAAAAGCACCAACTGGAAAGTATTGTGAACGTGGTGAACCTATTAAGTGTGGTGATACTATACGTTTTGAACATTTGACCACAAGGAAGAATTTACACTCCCACCATTTTTCATCGCCTTTATCAAATGAACAAGAAGTTTCTGCTTACGGCAATGATGGTGTAGGTGATACCGGTGATCATTGGGATGTGGTATGCTCAAATGAAAGTTGGATGCGTGATGCACATGTGCGTTTCCGCCATATTGATACTGGTGCTTATTTAGCAATGTCTGGCAAATCCTACGGTCGTCCTATTTCTGGTCAAATGGAAATTGTAGGAGTACACAGTATGCATCATGGCACGAGGTGGACAACGGCTGAAGGTTTATTTATAGTGCCTAAAGAAAAAGAGACTGTGTATCTACATAATGAGCTATAAATGTGTTAATGCTGGAGCATTATGGTGTTTATGCTTTTCTTTATGTTCCAATTCAGCAATTAGTTCAAATTTATGTTTATGGCAGGAAAAAGGACTCCTGTCTCAGTGGCGGATCCTATTTAAAATTTTTATTTTATGCACGATTTCAAATTAATAAAATGCTGTTCTTAAGCCGTTAATGTATTAAACCAAAAACCAAATAAAATTATTTGAAACGGATTGAAACTGACAATGCATAAATGAATTTTATAAAATTACAACTACAGGTGCTATAAAGAAGCCGAATATATTCCTGCCGTAATAAAATTCATTATTTTTTATTTTTAATAAATCAGCTTTCAATTTTTTATTTTGTATAAATTGTCAAATAATATAAGTAATTATTAAATAACTATTATTTATTATTAAAAAAATTTAATTTGAATATAATTAATTTTGCTATTATTGGATTTTTTCTTCCATTTGTAACACGTACAAGAATTTTTAAATTTATTTTAAAGTTTGAGCATATATTATAATATAATATGGAAGATTTTTCATGATAATACTGCTTTGAAGAGTCGAAGGGGGCGTATTGTGCTTAATATAGATCATTTGTATTATTATGAAACATTCCTATAAAAAAATTCTAAATCAATATTATACATTAATTTTTAACTGAAAACACTTCTATGTTCAAATGATTATTTTTATAAGTAAGATTTTTTCGAATCTCAGAATGGTTACAGGCTCTTCGGGTAGGTATGCAGATCTCGGTTATTGGTTAGTTAGATGAAGTGACAAACAATAATCCAGTCAAGGCGTAGAGAGGAAACCTCGCAGTTAATAAAAAGTAAAAGTGCTCAAGTTCACTGATTCAACTAGCCTCAACATAATAATAAGATTTTGGAGCATAATATTTATACTTTTTTATAGAGAGTTGTTTTAATCAGTTTTTGTATTATTATAAATAAATATTATAACTCAAAATGTTACTACTAGAAGTAACAAAGATACAGTTTTCCTTCATTAAAAGATAAGATCTAATGTTGACTAACGGACGACTGCTTTATTATTATTCCGTTTGCATATCAGAATTTTTGTTTATAATACACAGGTTCATTTAAAGTAGAATCTAAATTGTTTCCAAAACATAATAGAATTACATTTGAATAAGTAAATAATTAATAATAATTAATATAATAATAATAATAATAATAATAATAATTAAATAATAGCAAGGTATATAACATAAATATAAAATTAAAAACTCAAGCAAATCCTAGCTTGCAGTGAAGCTAGAATATATAGAATTTGAAACGAAAAAAATTGTGGTCTTTCCGTAGAACGAAGCACTGCGACACTATACTATATTTTTTATACTTATATTTATAATACATTTATATATATTTTTTATAGAAAGGTTTCGAAACCTATCTTGTTGTAGTTCACTACTTTTCGAAACCTCTCTACCTTTCCGGTCTTTCCGTAGAACGAAGCACTGCGACTATACTATATTTTTTATACTTATATTTATAATATATTTATATATATTTTTTAAAGAAAGGTTTCGAAACCTATCTTGTTGTAGTTCACTATTTTTCGAAACCTCTCTACCAAATATTCTAGTTTTTATTAAATATGATAGTCACTTTCGTCATAACTGACGTTAAATTACAACTTATATCATATATTTTTTTTCATACAAACAGATAACGCTAGATTTTTTCGTTGAGAAATTTTTAACATCACAAGATATATAAGCTCTTAACCTAGTAATTTCCTGGTGGCTCAAATCAAACTGGATAGTACCAACAAATAATATGACTAGAAGTCTTATCTACTTAAATGCAGAGATGACGTTCTGTGTCCTAAAATAAATTCAACTTGTTGAGATGCTTACGCAGTTCATGCTAATCTATCGGATAATCTGCCATCACATATTTCCTTTTATTTTCTCAATTTATATTGAAAATACTAATTTCACATTTAACGTAACTATAATTGTCTGCATTAATGGTCCTTTCCAACATAGGTTATTGCCAATAGATGGCCTCACTACAAATATTTAATTTTAAAAGGTTCTGTTTATTTTTAAATGCACGTTGCATAGTTTGTTTTACTAAAGCATTTAGTTTATTACTTGGTTCACTTATGGCTTGGAGTGTTGAAGGTATTACAATGGGTTTGTGTTATAGAGTCTAAGTTTTTCATTTAGGGACTCCTATTTATTTTTCGCTGCGTTTTTTAATTATTTATCAAACTTAACTTGTTTATTTTTTGTGTATTTTATATTTGATTTAAATTGTTACTAAATTTTATCTGCAATTATATATTTATTTTAAAAGCAGACCGTTCTAGGTTTATCAGTTGACAATAAAAATATTAAATAATGCTATTGCTCAATATAGTTATATAGTATATATATATATATATATAGACTTATTCAAAACGTAAACAAAAATGTTTGTTAAAAAAATGCTATTAAAATTCTATTTTGCTAATTTCAATATATTAAGTTAAATGTGTCAACTTAAATTAAAAGAATTTTAATTATAATTAAGTTTTGAATATTCATTAAAGTAAAATTTGAGTGAAAAGTCACGTAATTTGAAAATATATTATTAATTAAATTAAGGAAAATATTATAATAAGTTTTAAATGTATGTAATAATATATTAAAAACGTGTTTTTACCTAAATGTAAAGCAATTGATTTTAAACGGAATACAATTATAATTTTATATTGCGCGTATACTTTAACATGTGACTCGCAGTGTCCATAAAATTATTTTAGAGACTTCAAATGTAATTATTTAATGTAATAAAACACATATTTTCATGTGATTGTTATATAAAATATGAGTTAAAAAAATAATTCGTAACTAATAGGAGAGATGCTTTGCACTATTTGAGAAACTATGAACTCATAAATCTCTGCAAGAGTTGGGGTCAAAATTATGTTTATCTAACCCTCTCGACAGCGATTCTATGCAATATATCCACTGTTTTATAAGCGGTGAGTCTCAATTATTTCAAAAAGGAAGGTTCAGAAACAGTTTATAGCAGTACGTGTGGGGAAACAGCTACATCTGAATATTCAACAAAATTATATTCTTTAGAAAGCACTTTCAGATGTAAGCTATAAGCTAAATTATATATACTGCGATTAATGATCATTTGAATAACCCATTAGATTTTATAATATGTAGACTTTGAAAAAGTCATGCTATATTAACAACCTTTTAATCCAATGAACTGCTTAAACAATTAATATTTGAATAATAATGGATAATAGTAATGGAGAATGCCACATCTCAGTTATATGGTATATCTTCTTCTTTAGCACTAAAAACCACTACTAATCGAGATTTATCCATAAATCGTTTTTCATATTTACTTACAATATTTTTATTGATTAGTTTGGACGTAGCTCTGTTTTTGTAGGCGAGTACGGGATACTGATTATTAAGTGATACAATCCATAAAAACTAAGCTCAATTGCAACTTAGAATGGAAAGAGTTGACCTGCTTTTTCTTGATTGAGTAGTCGTTGCAGTTTTTGTCTAATGATACAAGGGTAGTCGAATATTTAAAATATTTTAATATTTTAAAAAACAAAAAATTCTCAATTTTATTTAGTGTGTATAAAACACATAACTTTCATCATCAACATCAAGATGATTTTGATCCCAAGTGATTTCTTGGAAAAACAAAAACAACCTTTAATAAATTATTATCAAAAAAAAAAACTGCTAGTTGAAATATATGGGTGATAATAAAAGGAGAGAAGAAGTTAATGTTAGGAAGTATATTGGATTAGTTTAGTTGGAGGTGAAAGGACATAGTTAGTTTAATAAGGAGAGCTAGGTATAAGTCGATAGTTTATAAATTTGTCTATATTAGGACAGGTAAATATGTGGAAGATATTATGAGAAGTAGATGTAAAGTTGAGACCTGCGTTAAGAATAGATATGTTAATTACACAACTTGCTGAATTTACATCTCAAAGAAATTCGTTTTCACGCACTCGTACTTAAAATTAGACGACCAAGTGTGTGTCATTACTCCCAAAAAACAGGGGAATGCGCCTATTCGTTTATTTTACTTCTTCAGCTCAGTTGAAAAGTGAATAAAAAACAATTCAAATATTAAATGTTTAGATTTAATACCAAATATATGTATATGTATATAAGTATATTAACATTAAAGGCAATCGAATTTCAAATATTTTGTTTAAAACATGCCAAAATAAATAACTTTTAAAAAAAATCTGCAACATGATTTAGGATTTTTGTTAAACCGTAAAAAGTATACCCCAAAACACTACGAATCGTGAGCTTTTATACATCAGAAATAATCTTTTCCCACAATAGTCCAAATCTATTTTGATTTACTAATTCAAAACGTTCGGCATGCCGTCTCTGTTCAAGTTCGATTCGTTGACGTTCCTTAAGAGGCAATTTAGTATCGCCTATATATTTATTACTTACGGCAACTATTGCCAATTCCTTGTAAGTAAGCAAACGTACGTCAATGTTTCGCAAATCAGATTCAATCAACTCTTGGACCTGTCTTGACATGGTCATGGTTGGAAACAGATTTAGTAAAGAAAACGTGTGATATAGATGATATGGACGTTCAAGCAAAGTAGAATTTTCATTTTTAGCTGATCCTTCAATTAGAGCATCAGATGTCATCAAACTTGAATCGTGTTCCAAAAACCTTTGACTAATATTATTGGATTTTGAAAAATTGAATACAAACATTCGAGAATTATTATGTGTGTTCCCATTCATTATTTCATATTGATGTAAATTAGAACATTCATCAGAAGTTTTTGAAATCAAGAAGTTATGATTATAAGTTGTTTTAACTGAATTTACATCTTTTTGCATAGCGGTTTTAATAGGTTTGCTTACATACAGGGGTTTTGCAAATATCCACATATCATCAAGAGGTGATGCTTCATTAGTTTCCAGTATTTGTGAATTTGTTAAGAATTCGCCTTTTATGCTTTCTAAGTAATCTGTCCCAAGAATATCAAAATTTTCGTGTAACTCAAGTGCTTGTATGGGTTTACATACACTAAGAGGTTGAGAAAATATCCAGTTGTCTTCAATGTGTACTTTCAGAGAAGATTTACTTTTCGCAAAGGAAACCACTTTGGAGTTACTTACTTCTTGCGCAAATGCATTACTACATATGACTATATTAAGAGGCTTGGTAAATATCCAGTTATCTTCAAGTGCTAGTCTATTGTAATCCAATAATGGTAAATTCTTTTTACCATTAAACATATTTGGAATCCATAAAGGTGATTTGTTTCTATCCTTATTAAATGAAAGCAGAGAAGAATTCTGTTCATTAGTCGTTTGAAAGTTTTCTTTAGAGCAAAACTTCTCTTTTGAAGTTTTTGTTTCAGATATATTTTCATTAGTAATATAAGTAGAAAACTTATATTTCGGATCGACTTGTTTTTGAGTAAACATGTGACTCAAGGGTTGAAACGTCAATTCCGATGTTTCACTGTGTACGTCTAGTTCATTTGGTTTATTTGAAGCCTCTGCAATTAACGTGCCTTCTGTATTGTGTATATGTAACTTATTATCTGTAAGAGCTGCGTCATTCATCCTTGTAGATGCTTTAGACAAGTACATGTTTCTCATACAATTTTTCTCAGGAATTTCTAAATCTGATTTCGATTTTACAACTGAAATCCTTTCTGCTCCAGGTAAAGTGTAAGAATCGTTGAAGTCCAAATCAATAGGTGTGTGGATAACACCGAAAGATTGAATTTTTAAAGTTTCACTTCTCAACTCATTTATCAATTTCTTATTTTCATTTTCTGTCATTGGAGCTTCGTCTATAGATCCAATTTTTTTATTAAATGCAATCAAAGAATCTTGTTTATTATCTTGGAAAAGCCAACTTCCGTTATTAGGAATCTCTGTCTCTGCTGATTGGGCACAAGTTCTATGGATTTTACTATTATTTTTGTATGTTACTTTCCCACTTTTCATATCGTTTTCATTACAACACTGATCTTGTAACTTCTTGTTAAATGTAATTAACGATACTTCCACATTTTCTGTAAATAGCCAACTGTCCGTAGGCGTTACAACGTTAGACTCAAAATTCTTTGATTGATTAAATCTTTCAGATAAATGCGAAATCCCAAAAGTTGGTGCGATCTCAGTTTTCCTATAAATGTTTTTTTCAGAAGTTTTAGACAATTGTTTCTTAGCGGAAGAAGATTGGTTTTCATATTTTTGTTTCTTGTTCTGTACTTTATATTGATTATACAAAGTCTTTTCTAGGCGTTTGTTGGAATTTTCAAGTTCCACGGATGGAATCTGCCAAGATTGTGGGAATAACCCTTTATCTTCCAGAACAGCCTTACTGCGTTCAATATGTTGGTTCTTGCCGCATTTACAATTTATCTGAAAAATATTCCTCTTATAGGTATCTTATAGGTGATCATAAGCAAAAAAGTATTTTAATAGCTTTACTCACTTCGTGACTAGTTTTCTGCTGATTCCTGATATTCCTGATTTTTTCTAATTCATTTGGTTTATTTTCTATCTCTTCAGGGTATATGCATTTTTGCTCAAATTTTATTAATGATTCTTGTTCCGAGTTCGCAAATAACCACGATTTTGGTGATATTACTTCTTCAGGTGTTGATGTTGGGGGTTCACTTGAATTTTGTTTTGTATCAAATCTTCCTGAAAACTTGCATTTATTTTCAGTTAAAGTATCTAAAAAGTTTTCGCCTTCTCTTAATTGACGTTTGCAACTTGATTGATTGTCGTTCTTTTCTTGTTTTGAAAAGTTTGACCGTTTATCAAATTTTTGATATGTTCCAAAACGGCCCATTTTTAAACTATAGAATAATTTTTTTATTTGTTTAAAGTGTTTTAGTTTTTATAAAAAAAAGTATTTGACACTAATTTAAATGAATTATAATTTTTTTTCAACTTTCTTTAACATTGCTTTGAAAAAAAATTACTTTTTACAAGAAGAAACTAAAAAATTATATAAAAACTTTTCAGTTGAACCCAAGATATAGGTTGTTGATAACTTTACCGCTATATATGATAATTTTGAGATTTAAACTCAAAGTTTCATTATTATTAGTTTGATCTCATTATTTTTTTAAATAAATGTTTTTGTTTTGTTTCTTTAAATAGTAGTATTGTACCACTCGATAGATAACAGGTGCCTCAACCCGGAAAAGATAGAACTCTCTCTGTTCTAGGATAGAAAACAAAATAAAGAAAGACAAAACAGTTAATTTAGCGTGAGTTTCTCACTTTTGTTATTGAATCTCAGAAGTTCAGATAAAGCATGAATATGGTTTATGCTCGGTACATCGTAGCCCAATAGGTTTAGCCTCTTTCTTACTAATGCTGGGCAATTGTAAAAAAAATTACCTTAATTTGTACACATTTTCAAAACAGAATTAACTTGCCGGGTCTGTGATTATTCGTAGCGATGTGTCGTGACCATTGTTGTGCTCTGTGATGACCCCGATCAATAGCTAGAGGTCTTTTGTTTTTAATATTAAGAGAAATTTCGCACGTGTTCTGTAAGGTTTCTTTACAAAGTATTTCGTCGCTTAACAGGATTGCAGTTCACACCATCTTTTCTTATGAACAAAGCTTACATATAGAGTTACCATCAAGTCTATTAGACCGATAAGAAAAAATTATGGCTATGGTAATGTATTTAATGCTGGTTTCCATTAAGTAGATTTCCATTAAGTAGATTTTTTACTTTCATGTATTTGGAGTTCTATCATTACTTTTTTTTCTGTTGCAAGAAAAAACTTTTTTGTCGATTATATGTAAATGATTTGTACTAGCGACTATTTAAGAAAAATCTCCTTTGTAGAAAACACTTTTTCACCTGAAGTTTTATCTAGTTTATTTTTAATTCCATTGCGGTCTTTATCTATGGAATATTGTCTATGGAATCTATGGAATTTATATAATATATGGTTATATTATATAAATTATCTTAAGGAATTTTCCAATTTCCACTTACAATATATATTTAAGTAATACTTTCAACTAATCAATTTAATTAAAGAATAGAAATTAAAACACATATGAGTGATATTAAAAATAGTTAATGAGAAATAAATTTAATAGCAAATGTAATTATGAATTATTGAAACATTGTAATTATGTTTGAAAGAATTTTCTTTCAATTTTCTATTAACTGCGAGATTTCATCTGAACCCATCTTTACGCCTTGACTGGATTATTACGCGGTGTTTGTAAGCCAGTATTTTAACTGGGGGTTGCCTGCCATGTAGTTAAGTCAGTAGCAGTATCTTTCAATTTATATGCACTCGTTTATTAGAGTTTTAGTTTTGGACCAGTCTTTACCAGTCTTCGTATTTACTCTACAGTTTTTACTTCAGAGTCAGACGTCAGAAAAATTTATATGACAGATGCAGTTGTAGCTGCTTTTTACCTCCTTAGAAAGGTTAAAAGTAACTCAGACCTTACTAGTGTAAACTTTTGCTTTAAGGGTATATGTTAGGGAATTCGGTATTGAGTCCATAGATTTCTGTCAGAACTTCTTCATTAATTATTACATGGTGCATTCAGTATACCATAAAGTAATTAATCCAAGCCGTTGTCTTGGAAGTTCGGGCAAAGCTAGGCAGAAATAACCAATCAATATAAATTCTTTGGCATATTAGTTACGTATAACATCTCCTACAACAATCATTTGACCACTAAGCTTTCATTAGGAAAAAGCGCAATAACTCCACGTGGGTAAAGTACTTGTCTAATCATAAAACATGGGTTGCAATGGTGTGGTTAGCCACGACCGTTACGGTTGCCGTTACGGTTGGCCTTATTCATGCAATTCCTACTCTCACGTCCTCGTCGTGCAACCTGGGCAATGTGAGTAACCTACGAGTGAGACAACCAATCCAATCCATGTGGATCTCTAAGTCGCGGCAAACGAGAGAGGGAGCCTTAGTGGAACCACTTCGACATATTCGATTTAATGATCCGCCGAGGCTTGGCACCTCATCAAGAATACGCTGAAGTGGGCGTCTGACGTGTATCAAGCGGCTCGCTATATAAATGTGTTCACTGGAGTCCATGGAGGAGGAATACAACAATAATGATATTACTACTTCAAGGGGTAATCATAGTATGATAAATCTCTCTGCTTCGGCAGCAGGCACAAGGATTTTGGAGCTGCTAAATCCATGTACGAAAATCATAATGAATGAAACCAATACCATACAATCACGTCGTATAGAACGACCGAGGCCCTATATTCCACTGGGAGATAAGGATAAGAGAGAGAGAGAATGTTCAATCGTACTCTACGGTACTCAAGTTTGGCGTTACAAACATTATGAAGAAGAAAAACTTATTAGATTTTTAATAAAAAAAATTTTATTGCTACCCACAAAGACCGTTTTCACTTAGAAACGGGTTTACCAACGTAATTTGTAGACAGAGTGTAAATACATTTTGGCTATTTAAGAAAAATTCTTAATGTTCTTTCCACAAGGCTTCTTCGAATACTACCTGAACTTATGATTAAGAAAAGCATATATTGAGCCAAAGATTGCGAAAATATGTGTTTAGAGCTGGGTCTTTTAATAACAAGTTTTCAGAGTATCTTAAAATATTACATAATAGTATTATAAATTTATACAAACGGAGTGAACACGAATCCATTTTTACCAATGCTAGATCGGGATCTCATGGCATGTATCCACAGCTGCAATAGAAATTTGAATATATCTGAACGTGATTGTTATTTATGTAATCGTCATAATATAGAAAATATATGTCATATTATTGGAGTAAGTCCGATTTTCAGAGATCTATGTTCTCTTGTCTTTTTTTTTTTTGATAAAGTTCTTTTGTGCAAAGAAGAAGTTAAAGTCTTATTAAGGACGTGTGCGCGTTAGGCTAAGTTGATGCTAAACCAAATGGGAGATTTTTTGGGATTTTTTGCACTGCACACATTTAGCTATTTATCAACACGTATCGACACATCACTACATTATCGGCACAACTTAGAATTTCCCTCATTTAGAACGCAACTTAGCTTAACTCGCACACGACCTAAATAAATACTTATAACCTGTACAAATTTATGAAAAATGTTTTAAGTTACAGAAGATTAAGTATTGAAGAATTTATTGCCGAAAGTAACGCGTCTTATGACAAAAAGAAACTTTTTGAAAGTTAAAAGGGTTCGAATAGAAATAAAAAGACAAATTCGAATGTTTCCTAAGACCACTGATGAAGACCACTAGGCAATATTCAAAGCAGTCAAATTTCAATAAATTAAATAAAATTTTTGTTATTGTCTTTTCATTTCCATTCGAATACTTCTAATTTTTAAATAATGTTTATAATATGCACCACTTTTTGTATGTCCATGGGACACAAAACAAATATTATTATTAATTTAGATTTTAAATAAAATTCTATAAATTTTTTTAAGTGCTGGAGGATTTTCTATGAATTAATAATATATAACAAAAAAAAAAAAATATAATAGAATAATTATTTTATAACTTTAAAAAATTTTATGTCTGGGTACGATCAGGCCTCATGTCCCTACTGAATTCAATTTATTAAGTGATAAGCGCTTTTTGTATTACCTGTAGATTGTATTGTGCTTTTTTTTTTCTTCAAATACTCTGAAATAATTTATATGAAAATTTTAAAAACTTGAACTTAAAACTAATGTGAAAGCTAAGGTTTTTACTAAAACTTTACTGTTCCATCTATGTCGCTTTTGAAGAGCGGTAGTAAATCTATTAAAATCTATCTACGTATTAATTCGTCACCCTTCAGTCCTAAATATAATTTAGTTAACAAATTCGAGAGCAAGCATCCAATGTTTTCTTTTATTGCAAAATAGCACTTAACCTGACTTAAGAATAACATAGATACAAAATAAATACTATACATTTTATGTATATCGGGGGAAAGGAGAGGAGAGTATACTCTTTATATTTTTATTTTCTTATAAAAATTAGCGCAGATACAAAAAACAAGTCTAATAAAAAAGTGGTACCAATAAAATTAGAAGAAATGAAGCAATATTGGTAATTAATTTGTCGTTCGGTGTATTAAAGTAGTAAACATGAGAGATTTATGACAAAAAATGTTGAAATAAAAATTTAATTAATTGAAATTAATTTTGGAAACGTGATTCAACAATGAAGTTTAAGTCAACAAAAATTTAAGCAAGAAATTAAATGCGGCTCCAGGCCAAATATTACGCATCTCTCTTTTGGCTCGAAGAATGGCAAGGTAAAAGAATTCTACTCTACCGAACTACAGAGAAGTTTTGTTTAAATCGAAAATGATGTAGAATATTATCTCAACTCTTTTGTGTTAGTTACGCTTCTTTATTTTTATGTTTAGATGGAAACACTTGCACACTTTCAGCCCCCCGGCTTGCTTGACTGCCTGCACACTTTAAATGCGCCCACATCGAAAAAGTTCGTATACATCTAGCAGACGAACGCGAGACCATTCAGATACATTCGCTGATTGTATCGTTCGAGTATCTCAAATTATTTTTTATATACGGAATTGTATCTCATGCAGAGTTTGTTTGCTACTGAGTATCGGAGTTTGTGTAAGGTTTGATGATATCTATGAAACAGTTGACTTTAAGAACTCAGACTCGAAGCTTGTGTATTTCTTATTTATTTATTACATCAGCGGCTTAGGCGGGCGCGTCTTTATTACGAACGTGGCGGCACGTTTAATTCGTATAATCTTTGCTGAAGTTCGCCTAACTTAAGTTTTTTTTTCTGTTTAATTTATTTACTAAAAATATAAATATATATACTTATCTGTGTTTGTTTTTTTTTTA